AGCAGCCATCTGCCTGGAGTGAAACGTGTTTTCACAGGGTAAAGGAATTAAGCTGGGCTACAGCTTTCACATCACAAACATAGGGGCAGAGCTGCATAGTTTTGCATTGAAAAGTGACAGAAATCCTTGGCTAGGGCGAGAGGGAAAACATCAGGTTCCTTATCAGCAGCAGGTAAGAGGCTTTGGGGTGGGTGGTGCTTGTTCCTCTTTAAGCTTGCAATGATTTCCCAGCAGTGAAGCTTTGCTGGGTTTTGAGAGGTTACCTGGAGGGAGAAATAGGGCCCTTTTCATCTCTTAAAGGCATCCCTGAAGGCAGCAGTAGCAGAAATGATGAGGAGAGCACAAGAAGATAACTTTTCCTGCCAAACTTCCTTTCCCCTGGAGTTCCAGTTTTGGAACATGTAATTTCCAGCAGCTCAGCTTTTCAGGTGGGAATTCTCATTAATCTGGCAAGAAAAAGGCATCATCAGACTTTGCAAATGAGTCAAGAGATGAACCTCGCAGGTTATAAGAGATGCTGATGGTTCTGGGGAATGAGAGCCCTAAACCCAGGAAACGGTACCCCTAAAATGCAGCACTTTCAGGGTGCTGCATGTGGGATTTTGTGCACTGGAGCTAAAAACCCATCCTTATCACGCGAGAAGGAAAATGAAGACAAGCTCCTAAAGACTATGCTTTAATTATGAAGGGAATAACTGAAGGGATTGAAAGAGTTCTCATATGGAGCGAGTATATCTGCATTTGTGGGGAATCTGCACATACGGAGATAACAGCACAATTTTACATTTGAGAGGAGACAGCATCCTATAAATATTGAAATAGGGTGATGTTGAGCAACATGTGCCTGGCAAGCCCTGGTTTCTTCTCCCATTCGGTTTGTGCTGCATCCTCCCCCTTTGCCAGCCTAGGGATGCTGTTTGGTCCCAGACTGGGAACCTCAGGCACTGGGTTCCTAATCTGAGACCATCTCTTGTGCATCCTTTCTTCTCAGTCAAAAGGGATTTGGTACAACAGTTTGATTTCATCAATTAGATGGCAGTTGCTTAAAGGGGGAAGAAAATATATTGTGTTTAAATAACCTGTGGCACTCAATGCAGAGGGACCAATACATTAGAGAGGTGATAAAGTGTGCACCAGCCTGGGTGGAGAGCACCAGGAGGGTGTTACAGCCTGTCTGTCCTTTGTGAGAGAGGGAAAAGCTGCAGGAGGACAACTGAACCCATGAATCATTTTGCCCATGGGGCTGCTGGAGCCAGGGCTCCAGCTCACACCTCTGGCCAAAGCAGACCTAAAATCACACCTGGATTTAGGCAAGAAGGCTCTGTTGTGGGGATGGGAGGATGGTTAAAACCCAGCTAATAATCAGTCCTGTGTTCCATGAAGCCATCACCTCAGGAACTGCAGCTCCCCCAGCTCTCAGCCATATGATCTGGCTGTCGCAACACAGCAAGTGGCATTATTAGCTTTGCCAGAGATGATGTAAGGAGCAGGGGCACCGAGATGGGTGTTAAAGAGCTGCATAACCACGGCCTCAGTAACAGAAGCTCAGCTGGTGAGCAATTTCCAGCTACCCAGGGATTTCTGCACAAGCAAAAGCACTGTTAGGATGCAACCAATGGACTACTCACACAGACTGGATTCCCTTTTGCTACCTGCAGTATTCTGCCTGTTAGTGCTCTGCCCAGGATTCCAGCACATCTGAAACGCAGGAGAAAACTGGCACTATATTGGCGTATTTTGCTGTGGTGGAACATGGGCAAAATGTGTTTGGCTGTTTCTGCCTATTAGTGCTTGTGGCTGGCTCAGGGCACACTGATGAGAGCGTTTCCAAGAGCTTTTGTGTGCACAGATGTGATAAGATCCTAACTTCCCAGATACCCACAGCTAAGTTTGATGCAAAAAAAGGAGCAGAGAAAGAAGCCAAATCCCTGCTTGAAAAGTTGAGGAACTTTGAAAGGACACAGGTCAGACTGAGCTCTGCAGTAGCGGAGGGGGAAGGCAGCAGGTTGGGCTCAGAGCAGTGATGTGCTCCCAGCAGCACCCCTTTGAACAGTGATTCAGGGGACCCTGGCTTTGCTCCTCCACAGGTCACAGCGCTCAGCTCTGAGGACATCAGAAGCTGCAGGGCAGCCGGAAGGCAAGATAAAGGAGATGCTCTGCATTTCTCTTCCTTGATAAAAGGATTCCTGTGTAGAAAGCCTTTCATTTATGGCTTACTTAGTATGAACTTGGCTTCTCTCCATTTACATGCTTTGGTTTCCACAGAGCACATGCTCCTCCCTATGCAACCTGGGAGGGAGTTTCCCTGCTACAGCAGGGAATGATAAGGCATCCTTAAATCACAGCAGAGGAAGCAGCTTTATTTCCAATTCACCACTCGATTATTAAGAGCTGCTTCCCCAATTCATTTACTTTTCATCTCATGGCTGATTTATTTAAAGACTACAGTTTCAACCTCATTTCTGTCCTTTCTTGTGAGGCCAACTCGTTTTATGCCCTCTTAAATCTTCTTTCAGGTTGTTTGAAGCACCATTGGTGTTCATAGTCAAGATGATTCCTCAAAACATACATCACCAATATATTCCCTAGTTATGTATTTACTCCAGGAGGCAAGTCATCTCCCTGTAAAGCTTCCTTTCACCTCTTGCACTTCAATTTTCTCCCCTGCCCATATACTCAGGCTACTCATGCTTTATTTCTTCCATTTCACTCTTCTATTCTCTCATAGCAGCAGTAACTCACCACAATTAAGACAACCAGGTCCTGTGTACCCACCAACCTATATTAACTGTCCTTTCTGGTTGGCTTCATCCCACAGTGCTCCTTATTCTGGAAGGTCGTTTGAGTATCTCATGGCAATTACTCAGCTGAATATTGATTTCAGCATCATTCTGCATTTATGTGCCTGTCCAATGTTCTCTGCTATGACACAGATCAAAAACCAACAGCTTTCAGTATTGTTTCTTTCATTGGAATAGGAAAACTGGGAAAAGGGGCTAATCCTTCAAAGGTTTCCAAACAAATTCTGTTTATGTTCTCCCTTCCTTTACTGTTAAATCTCTTTCCATCCATTCTCCTGATCTATGGGAATAGAGGGATGCACCACCGGGTAATTGTTCAATAGCTAAAGGAAGTCTTAGGCTTCCATCACTGGGACTAACTCAGAAGCACATACTACCCACCTACATCAAGCAGCAGCTTTACCCTCATGGGATCTCCTTCAGTGTCTCACAGTCTAGTAACCAGCCTGCAGCAAGGACCAAGGAGCATCCTGGACTAACACCCCTGAATAACACTGCTTGAATTAAGCGGCTCCAAACACACACAAGAGCTTTGTTTTCCCCTTGTCCTGGGTCTGAAAAGGGGAACCAAACACTTGCCAAACAGCAGAGCTCAACTGCCAAATATTAACCTACATTTACACACCTCAACAGCAGAAAACAAGTCAACCCAAACTCTGCAACAGCCCACCGGGATCCCCTCTTACCTTTGCTCTTGTACATTGCCTCCTTGCTGCCAGTCCTCTACTTCTCAGCACACCCCAAACCTCTCTTGATGCAGCCTGAGGTGTTAATGGCCCCAGCAAGCACATACCCAGATGAAGAAGGTGCTCATCACCCTTCTTTACAGGCTGAAGTGCCATTAAGCCTCTCCTTTTATAGAAGAGGGACCTGGAGACACTCAGAACTACTAAGCATGGGCACCTGGTGAAGGCAGAAGTAGGCAGGACTATCCTGGATCTGGTTATACATGGGTAGGTTGGAGGAAATATGGGAGGTGGGAGTTTGGCTGATTGGGAATACCAGTTCAAAAATGTGTCTTAACAACTGAGCAGACACTTCAAATTGATCCTGGAAATGGGATTCCACCTGCTTTTTTTTGAGGAAACAGGGACATAGGGGTGTTCTGGAGCAATATCCCACATTGTATCTCCAACTGTACCTGATTTGTTTCATCTGCTTCTTTTGATTGAGGGAAAAAACCCAGAGAGGCCCCAAGGACTTGTCAAGTGCTCAGGTTAAAGTGACAATAAACCTGACAGTCAGTTTTAAAAGGGGATGCTGCCTTTACTTTGCCCTCTGTAATAATCTCTGGCAAAGTAAGATGGTCCAAAAGAAGGAGGTGGAAGCTGTGAAGAGGGGAAAGGCAACAACAAGGAGTGACACTTGCTCTGGAGAAGTGCTGGCTTCTGAGCTGCAGGATTGGCCAAGGGAAGGAGGGAACAGTCTGCTGTGGATAAAGGCTGGTAGGAGAGGGCCTTTTGCTTATCAGGGTAAAAAGCAGGGATACAGTGTACAGTATCAAAGAAACACAAGGGAAAGACAAGCAAGAACAATGCCTGGAGAAGTGCAGGATGCTGTGGTGGCAGCTGTCACTTTGGGGGGGGGGGGGGCACTGCAGTGGTCCCCAGCCCATATGCAGAGCCATGGCAGGAACAGGCACATTCTGATTTATGCAGATGCTTCTTGCCAATTAAGAGGCAGCAAATGTGCAGATTTTACACTTGGAAGTCAAATGTATTCTAGGGGATTCTCTTTTCATTAGGCATATGATGCACGTCCCTGAATCCTCTGCTGGAATATTTAAATGGCGATTTAAGAGAGTAGTTCTCCTTCAGCATCAAGTAAATGGCAATGAACTGACAGAGGAATAAATGAAATATAAATCAGTCCTGCCATGATGATGATGCTTTTCTGCAGGCAGCAGCTTTATATGGCTTTATACAGCCCCTTTGTGTTGGGAATCCTTTTCCATCCTCAGATCCTTGGGCTGATGGGGAGGAACTGGGTGGCAAGGGATAGGAAGGGGGATTAAGGGTGAGGTGTGACACAAGGGGAGGTCAGATCCAGAGACAACAGAGGGAACAGCGTGAGCAGGGAGTGGGAGAGACACCAGGGAGGGAGATTCTGATGAGGTCAGCCTGGGAATCCTCATGCTGTAATGAACAGGCAGCTGGTTTCTATAGAAACACTGAGATGGGATTTAACACATTAAATGGACACGTTTTCATGTCAGTGTTTAATAAAAAACCCAATAGAGATACAGTGAGGGAATCCTTCTCACACGTGCAGCCCATGGTTTTCCTCCAGTGTGTCAGCAGCATGCTGGAAAACAAGAAATAATAGAAAATGATTTTAAAACCTTCAGCAATTACTCACAACAATGCCCACGGTTTCCCTGGCTCTGCAATGTACGCATCCTTAAACAGTCAGCACCCAAACCGCTCTGTGATCCTATGAACAACTGCCCCTCCATAATGTCTAACATCCCCATTCCTGTTGGTGGAGATGTTGAGCCCCCTGAGAGGTCGGCCAGGCCCATGTTGTAAGCACTAAAACAACTTAAAAGCAACCAAGAAGGGGATTTGTTTCCTTTTCCTTTAAAACCCAAGCGAGACAGCAGCTGCTCTGATGTGACTTGTCCTATCGTCTTCCCCAAAGGAGTGCAAATTAGAGCTGGGAAGGTATAAAATGCAATCATCTTGCCTTAGCAATAGGAGGCTGCTTCAGCACAAGGAGAACAGCTGCCCTCTTTAAAGGTGTCAGCAAAGCCCTGGAGCAAAGCAGAGCTCAGCACAGCTCCCAGGGACAGGCAGTGGGCAAGGGACACCCATTAGGGTGTCTCCTCAGGGTCCCAGTTAGTTCTGGGCTAGCATGGAAAAGTTGCAGCCCCAAACTGCTGCTCGTAAGACAGGGAGAGGAGATGGGACCAGCCATCATCATCCTCAAACCCAACACACTCCCATCCAGCTCCTCAAAACAAGGGGGCTTGTGTGTGTGTTTGCCTTGCTCCATCTTGGTGGATGAATCCTCCTGATGCAGAGCATGTCTTTGCTTCTCAGACTGTATTTGCTTTTGGGTATTCACAAACCCATACCACGATACCCTGCATCCTCACCAAGAGCTGGAGGAGGGAACCTCTTCCTCTGGCAGACATATGTGACACAAAGACCTCAAAGTTTCTGAGGACATTGCTGTTTTCTCCCTTATCCAGCAAAGCTCTTCCCATCCCACACCCTCCAAGATGCAGCATCAGGAAATGGGATCTTCTTGCTCCAGGCTCTTCCTTGAGCTCACACCCTCTGGGTGGCACCAAGGTCTCCTCTGCAGGCACAAGCACACACGAGGGGCTGCAAAGAAGGACCAAGTAGTCTGAACTTCAAAATGAGATTTGCTTTCCAGCCATGGGCAAAGCCACTTAGAGGGAATAAAAGGAGGGCTAAAGTGGCTCTTTTGCAAGAATCATTTGCTAAATTACAGTATCTCTAGAATTGTCCAGAATCAAATCATGCAATGAACTGTTGGCAGACAGCAAATCCCACTCATGGGGATGAAGGTTACAGAAATCAATCCAAGTGAACAATGTTCTTAGAGGTCTTGTCTAGGCAATGGAGCAGAGGAGGGGACCACCCTGGGCACAGCAGGAGCTGCTTCTGTCCCTCATCCCTGGCACATCCTATGGTGTGCATGGGACTCCAGCTCAGCTCAGGTTTGCTATGAGTGTGCTGGGTTCACCACCACCTTCCTCTGATGGCAGGTAAACACGGGAGTGGGACAGCTTTTTGCAGGAGGCATTCCTTTACAGTGCAGGTGATCATAAGAGCAAAATATCTTTTCTTTTCACCATAAAAGTGCTTTACACCATTCAATTAAAGCCTCTGAGATAAACCCATTTCTCCTGGGTGTTCTCCCTTGCTCTTCTCTTTCTGTCGGAAGTCATTTCAATATTTTACTATCTGAGTAATAAAAAATACATAATGGCTTGTGAGGCAATATTATTTCAGCTGCTTGCTCACTATATGAAGAAATTCAGAGCAGTCTTTTGCTTCCCTTTATACTGGAGAGAAAAACATGAACTCAAGCACCAAGGGGCTGTGATGGGAAAAGGTCATTTATCTGGGTTGCCACAAAGGCTCTGGGCAACCAGGGAAAGCCAAGCCAGATTTCTGTCCCTAAAGACCATGGGTAAGGCATTGCAAAGCCAAACTTCCAGCTCTTCCTCAAAGTATACACGAAACAAAGAAGAAGGGAGGTGCATAAACACTTCTGTAATTATGAATTAAGCTCTATCCTTTAAAACACTATATGCTTAAGTGGTCCCAAGTGGAACGATGTATCTTTCTCCTGGTGTTAAGAGCAGCAATAAATCCACAATTACTTTATTACTCAGCCCTTCTAAAAAATGCATTAAGCCCTTCTAGCAAATTTGAGTTTTATAAAACAATTACTTGATTCTGACCTTAGAATGAGTCCAAGTCAAATGAGATGTTGCTGGATGCTTTTCAGCCCCCACGTTTCATTTTGAAACTGATTCTCTATTCCTGGTGTCACCAGAAAGATATTCCTTTAGTTAAAAAGAGTGAGGCATGTCTAGGGTGAGTAACAGGAAAAGGACTTACAGGGAACTGGAGGTCCACAAGAGAAAGGCCTGCTTGTGTTCAAGGAATGTGTGTGTGTATGTATACAAGCATATATATGCACACACACGTACAAAACCCCCTAAAACTACTTTTATACACATCTTTTAAAACTCCCTTCTGTTAGATGTAATGGTATTTTCCCTTCTTGTGCAAGAACAAAGGGATAAAGAGCCCCCAGGAAACAAACATCCCATTATGTCATGCAAAGGCCTTATTAATAAAGAATGAGTGAAAGGGAGGGCAGGAGATGCAGGAAACAGGAGCCTAATTACAGCATTCTCCAAAATTGCTCAGGTGGTAAATATTTTATAAGGGGAGCTCCCTTTCTCTTCATGCTTCTCCTTAGGCCCTCTCCTGAACAAATTACTTGCTTTGTAGAGGGAAACACTGCTAATTTTAGCTTTATTGGGCTCTGCATGCAAAGCAAGGGATGTTCCCTGGATGACTGGCAAAAACATTCTGGTTCCTATCTGATAGCAATGGTCTGTGTGATAACCTGGCAAATGTGACATCTTGGATATGGGGGAATCCCTCATTGTGTGATCAGGGACAGGGCTGGGGATGTGGCAGGAGCCATCCTCAGCAGCTGGGGACAGCACAGTCCTCTCTACTTGTGTCCTCCAGTTCCCACTGCTCAACCACTATCTCTACTGTGCACATAAATCATCCCATCCCATGCACAGCCTTGGAAAAGAAGAGACAGTGGAAGCAGCTACTGAGGAATTAAAACTGTTAGACAGCACCAAGAAATACATAATAAGAGGGAAAGAGGAGGAAGAAATACTCCAGCCTCCCAAATTAAAGTCACTTCGAAATCCTTCTGCTCTTCTCCTGAAAGCATTTGCAGCTCTAATGGAACAGACCTGGAGCCAGGCAGGTCGCAAGGGCAGTGCCTGTGCATGGGAACATGAGGTGTGGAGCATGGCTGTACAGGCAGGTGCACTGAGAAGCTCAGACAGCTCTTTCCCTGACCTGCCCACTGCTAATGAAAGGAGTAAAAGGGGCTTAAAGCAGCCAGCACAAACTGGCTATAAATTGGTGTTTCGGCATGTTCCCTGCTGCCTCAGCATCCAGCAGCAGCTTCAAGGCCAAGGCCAGGCTGAGGGAGCACGTGTGGGCTCCAGCACAAGGCTGGAAAAAGCTGCTTCTCCATAAGTAGCTGCCAACAGGCTCGGAAGAGGATGGACTCAGGCTCCCCACTGAGCCCCAGCTGCATCTGAACCACAAGGCTGGAGGAGACCGTGCAGGTCTCAGTTTCCTCCCTGGAAGCTCAGACAAGCTTCTCCATCTAAGCAAGGAGCTGGACCAAGGGTCCAGCTGTACCCTGCCCAGCAGCAGGAGTCTGTGGAAAAGTACAGACCAGTAGTGGTGGGTCCGTGGTACATAACCCATCAGCCCACACTGTGCATCCTGGGACCTCCTATTCCCTCTCTCTGCTTTTTTCCCTATTCTTTTGACAGCATGGCTCTTTGATATCTATCAAAGAGGCTATCTTACTCTAATAGCAGAAAGGAGAAAGCCTCAGGGGTACCAGCATCCCCCACCCTATCTTGATCTGTCTGCCTTGTCAACAGGCTGACACTTGCAGACCAACACTGACCATTTAGGGCATGATCCTCCCTACATTTTGTTCTGAATCCCAAGAGATGGAGGACGCTACATACCAAGCAACTCCCTGAAGCACTGGGGCAAGACACCCACCAGACCCATGGGACTAGTTGCTGCTTGGTAGGGAAAGCTGCCTCAACCCCACTTGCATGGCTGAGAGTGTATTTCAGTTCTACAGACTGGGATTCACCTTCTTATTACCTCTGTCCTGCTTCATCCATTGCTTTTTAGGCTTCTCAGATGTTTCACTTTCATTTGTTATCTCTCGGATTTCAGCACACGAAGTCCCAGCCCTGGGATTGCATGGAGCTGGCGGCATTCCTGTCGCACCCAATTCTTGTCCCTTTGCCATGGCAGGTGCTTCCCCCTTTAGCAACATGGCACAAAGGAAACAACACAAAATCAGCAACTGCAATAAGTACACAACATTTCCAGTGCATTCAAAGTATATTTTTCCTTTCCTCTTTGAAAAATACTAAGGAAGGAAGGAATTGGGACAACAATTTGATCCGTGTGTGCCCCCCCTTGCCTTTTGTGCAGGGATTTTTGCAGCAGATCTGTCTTGAAGCCTGGCTCATCCAAAGGACTCCCTAACTGAGATGTAACATTTCCCTTGACTCAGAAAATCCTCACTGATCTTTTAACAGGATTTCCCATGGGTTGGCTATAATGTGGATTAAATAGGAAAAACCCATCCAGCTTTTCCTTTTCTGCTACGGGCACTTGCTCAGTCCAGTGTCCTTTTGTGCTAGGGAGGAGAACCGGGAGCTGTGAGGTTGCAAAGCAAAGAAATGGTTTGATCTGCAAATGCACACTGAATCCCTGTAAACTCCTGTAAGTTTAGAGCTTTCTGTGCTAGACTAAAGAGCTGCCGCTGGAGGAGGAGAAGGCATTGTACCTGACTGCAAACTGATATTCCACTGATGTTCCACCTGCCTTTCCACTGATGTATATATGCACAGATTATGAAGAGCAAGCCTTTTCATGCTGATAGCATCTCCTCTTTACTGTATGAATAATAACTCAGTACTAGTAAGAGATGAATTTTGTCTTCCATCCTCATCCCCACCGGGTCTCCATCCGAGCTGCTGTCCACCGCTGCCTGGACTCCTGTCTGATGTACACCCCTCCAATAACACATGGGCATACTTACAGCTTCAAGAGCTTTCAGCAAAAGTGTCCTCTCTGCTAAGCCCAGGGCCAAAATGATGGGTCAGAACTGCGTGGTGGGGTGGGACTTTGGGGCTGGAGCAGCCACAATGCCCTGGATGCAGCCAGACCTGAGGGACCCTTGGAGCCTGCACACCAAAGAAAGGCACAGACACACAACAAGAAACCATCCTACTGCACTACATGCTCTGGGGAACCCCCATCAAGCCCCTTCTGTGATAAAGGACATGCTCAGGGCAGGGAGGAGGGCAGGATGTGCTTTCCCCCTCCTTCAAGCCCTTGTAAACCCAGAGCTGTGGAACACAGTGATGCAGAGCTGGCCCCACCAAAAGCATCAGAAATAGCAGGGAACTGGGACCAGTTGTCAGCTGTGAGCCAGACCCAGGATGTTATAAACCCCTCCTGCTTCTGCCCCAAAGCCCACTCCAGAAATCTTCATTTCACTGGATCTACCCAAAGCACAGCACAACCAACTGTTGCTTTTACCCCCTGTGTGCATCAATAGCTAAAAATCACCCACCAGCGACAGCCAAAGAGCTCCCCAGAGCACTAATCCCTGTGCTACAATTACACTTCAGGCCAGATGAAGAATTCATCACTATAGCCTGGTTATGCTCATTAATCCCCCCGAAAGCTTTCCTTGTCTCTGCCCCTTCTCCCCCCTTCCCTCTGAACAGGAGACAGAGAGGAGGGCTGGGACGTCACCAGTCATGTTCATTCCCTTCCCTCTTCGAGACAACTAATGAGATCTGCGTAGGCGAATGTCTCCTGCACTGTGTTGGATCCACTCTCACATGGATCAAGGCATGTGATGGGAGCACCGTGGGGAGGGAATGTGGATGTCCGTGTGCTGGATGCGCTCACACTGAGCCGGGGGCTGTGTGCACACAGCGGACGATGCAGCGCTGTGCTCTCCTCCCTTAAAGGTTAAACCAATCCATTATCCTCTTTATTAGGCTGTTGCAGGCTGGAATAGCTGTGCAGAAGGGGGGTGTGTGTGTGTGTGTGTGTGTGTCTCTTCCCCTTCCTGGAGCTGTCAGTAGAATGAACTTGATAGGATTCAAGCTTTAAACCCTCATTCCCCCCTCTCCCAGATCTCTACCAACATGCTGCCAATTCTCTATCCTCCCCCTCCACAAAAGCACCCAGAAAGGAGCAGCAGTAAAAAGCTTTTTTGAACACTGGTGATACCAGCTTCCAGGCTGGGAGCAAGTTACACACTCACAGGAATCTACATCCAATACTGATGTAAACTACACATTGCTTCTTGCTGCATTGCTGCCCCATAAAAGCCTTTTCTCAGTGTTAATCTGTCCCTTTCCCCCTTGGCAGGCTGGAGAGATGAGCTCTGCAAAACATGAAATGAGCTGGGGAGGTCTCAGACCTTCCCATCACAGACATGCAGCAGGAACCAGAACCCACCAAGAACCTCAGGGAGGAGGTCTGGCATTCTAATAACACTGACTTTATCATATCAGGGACAGGAGGAGATGGACAGCTTAAACCAACTGGAAAAGATGGATACCTGATCCTGCAGAAGAGAGCAGGCTGAACACACGGCTTCTCATTTCTAGACATATTTAAATCAATCCCAGGCTTACATTTCTAGAGACAAGTGGAGAGTTGCTTAGGGCTGATTGGTGGTTTTCTGTCACCATGATTTTGTTTTGATTTTCAAGCTCTCAGCCTCTGCAGAACACAAAATCTCCATAAGAATATTTTCCATCAGTTTTTCATCAGAAAAATCAAAGCACAGGATCAGGTTAACACTGAAACAAACCCAGTGTTTTCTCCCTTTAGCCCAACACTCATTTGCTGCTTGGAAACCTCATGGACATCTTCATTTGCCAGTCTCCACGACTGTCACTTCATGCATCCCTCCCAGCCTTTGGTATTTACCTGGGGATGGATTTGTCTGGATCAGTACCTATTTCCCCAAACTCTCTATTAAAAGCAAGAGTTAAAATTTTATACTTAATGACCTAAGAAACAGGACACCCAGCAAAAAAAAAAATCCATTTATACAACCCCCCAGTGAATGCTTTGTCTAAAAATAAGCTCATTTCCTGCAGTTAAACCTCATACCTGCTGCCGGAAACCTGCATCACGCTGCCAGCAAGATATCAATCTCAAAACACAAACAGCACCTTTGGCTTTTGAAAGCTATTTGGAGATCAGGGGGTGGATCCTAATAGGTTACATAAACCATGCTGGATGGACCACAAATGAAAACATACGTGGCAAAGCCAGTGCAAATCAGAACAGGGTGGATTATCCGTCTGTGGTCAAACAGCAGGAATCCATTTACTTCCATGGAGCCCTGTTGATTCATAGTAGCTGATCCATGTTTTCCCTTAAGAAGCCTTTAATTTCAGTCAGTGTGAAAACAGCAGGTAGTTTTTAAGTCAAACGTGGGGTTAAGGGCTCTACCCACCACCAAAAGCTTAGTGGAGGTGAGGCATTAGGTGGTGCTCCTCTTGAAGAGGGGTGGATTTCTACAAAGATTGTCCTTTTCCATGTGCCTCTGGTGGGCTTCTCACAGAACACAATCACCTTCTAACAGAATCAGCTATAGCCTAGCTGGAAAATGTGAACGTGCCATTTCTTTAGGAGGCACAGTACCAAGTTCCTTTACTGAGATCCCAGCACATACCCAAGTACAGCTGCTCTCTTCCCTTCCTTCAGTTCACTCTGTAATTATATCACATAAAAGCAATCAAGTTCACTTGCCAAGATTTGTTCACTTTATCCTCCAGGGTCTAATCTCAAACCCTCTGTGAATGTATTTAAGGCACCACGGTTTGACTGTTGGAGCGTCGGGCTCTGCACAGCTCCTCGAGGGAGATAGGCAGTGCTGCTGTCCTTGGGCAGCTGGTAGGAAGGAGACAAGAAGGATGTGGTTCCAACCCACCTCTCCTTCATAGATTTCCTCCACATACAAGGTGGCCACCAAAGCCACCTTGTACCCAACTTCACCTGCCTGGTACCCATATGGCTCCTTAGAGGCACCATGTGTCTTCAGGAGAGCACAGAGAGGTGCATCTGCAGTTCCTCCTGGCCTTTATCCCTGGCATGGCAAGGACAGAGTCTGCCATTTTCCATCTAGTTTTTATTCTGTTCAGGTCAAGGAGTTATTAATCACCAAGAAGTTCTGATGATCCTTTTAGGCCACCACTTCTGCTTTTGGTTTTCATCACTGCCCTGCCACTTTCCCAGGACTTCAGGAGGAGGTCGCCTCTCTCCCCTTTCCTCTTGGCAATGTCCAGTCTGATGCAGGTTTACTTTTCATCTCACCACCATCACGGCTGCATCCAGCCCTCAGTCTGGAAATGACTGACATCTGTGAGCCAGTTAAATCAACAGCTCAGGGTATGCAGGTCCACGGTGCTTTATTTACCCTTCTGTAGATCTTGCCAGGTCTTTCCCTCTTCCTTGCAAGAATTATCTTAGAGTTCTTCTCACACACTGCTTCTGATGCCTTGATAACTTCCTCCCATCCCTCACATGGCTGAAGGTGGAAAGCTTTGTATTACTGAAACACAATGAGCAAAATATTCCCACTGTTGGACATAACAGCTTTGGATCACCGGTTCTGCACAAACACAGCTCACAGATTCCTGGTCATAAATGTACCAAGCTCCATTAGAAAACTAGATTGGTTTCCTTAATTCCATGTTAAGGCCATCCCAAGGTCTTGCTCTTTCCAAGGTTATAAACATTTGTTTAATTCCTAGCCTAAATAACCAGGCCAGCTTTCTCCCACCACATTGCTCTTACAAAGGTTTCCCCCCTTCTTAGCACTTACTCCTAATGTCTTCTGTTACAAGCCACTGTGCCTCCTCAGAGCTCATTTCGGTAGGAAAGGTGTCTTTTTATCAAATCCCAGTGGACAGAAAGATCTGACCCTGGCTGACCTTCCACTGCTCAGCCTGAAATTCCCCTTGAGAGCCATACCCCAGGACTGCACACAACCTCAGGTGAACATCCTCCCACTCCCTCCCACAATGAAGCTACAGCACAGATGAAACACTTGAGGAACACTTTTGCCTTGCTTTTATCTCAGCTGTCCTTTGCTTTGATCTTGAATAGTGGTTTCTATCATCTTTTTCTGAGGAAGATCCAGCGTGCATTTAAACAGGATGTGGGGGGTGTGTGTGTGCACACATAGCGCCGAGATAGCCAAATAAATGATGAAAG